TAATAAAGAAGAAATTACAGCAGTCAAACTTATTCTGCATGCAAATTCCCAGGCAAATCGAAGCAAAACTTTGACAGTGCAAATTGTTGCAGAAAACTTTCTGTTTTTTTTTTTTTTAATACGCGAAAAGGGGATGCATTAAACTGGCAGCTCGAAAAATGTAGCACAAAAGATAAGGGCGGGCTAACAGATAAAAACAAAAATGAAAGATCAAAATAAAATGAAAAGTAGCAGACACTTTTGCAAATGCAAATCAATCAGACAGAACAGATAATCAGCTTGCAATTTAAAAAATTGACGCGGAGAATTCGATAAAAATTGCATAAAATTTGCAAATTGCATTTTCAGCAATAAATAGCGCAAGAGGCAGCTGGTTTGCAAAAAATTATATAAATTCGATGCTCGCCAAGACTTTAATAGATTTCAATTTGTTATTTGTTTTTGTTTAGGTTTGCATTTCCAAAAATTTAATCCATTTCCATTTCATTTGGCCGCATCAATCACCTGCATTTGGTTATACTACATAGCTAACATTTCTGTCCATTTGTATGCCGTGCGGGGCGCAGCAATTACCATTTCCTAACAATTTGCTGCTATTTAATCCCGATGGCAATAAATGATTGCTAGCAGCTGCAGTCGGCCACTGTGGTGTAGTGGTAAGCAGTGCGCGCTTCCACTCCGCAGCACCTGGGTTCAAACCCTAGTCAAAGCAACATCGAAAAAAATATAGAAAAAGGTTTTTTCTTAACAGCGGTCGTCCCTCGGCAGGCAATGGCAAACCTCCGAGTGTATTTCTGCCATGAAAAACAGCTTCTCATAAAAATACAAACGCCATTCGGAGTCAACGTAAAACTGTAGGTCCCTCCGCTTTGTGTGACAACATCAGGGCGCACGCCACAAATCGGAGGAGAAACTCGGCCAAACACTAACATAAATATGTGTAAGCGCCAATCTATTATTATTATTAGCAGCTGCAGTCGGTGCAACAGAGAAATTAATTTGTAGCAGTCAAACATACTGCATATATTAGAGGTAATGGGTGCAACGTAAAACCTGCACTCATAAAAGGGAAAACTTTGATTTTATTTGAAAATAGCACTGGGTATAAATTTTACTTTAGCAGACTATTTTCGAAATTTGTTTTTATTTATTTATTTTGTTTGTAAAAGAGCGATTCGTGCATTTTTGGTAAGCTGCTGAAAATAAATGGTGAAAACATCTACTATGTAAATGGGAGGTGGAAGAAAATTCAAGCTTAAAGAAATTTGTTTGGACAGATTTTCAGGAATAAAATTATTATTTTTTAATGTTTTACTGCAAATTTTTATGCAGACCCAATTGCAGGAAATTTGTTTTGAATTTAGTTCGAATACGATGGGAAGGGAATATGAATATGAATTTGAATTCGAATATGAGTATGAATACGAATATGAGTATGAGTATGAATACGAATATGAATATGGGTATGACTATAAATATAAATAGAAATATGAATTTAAATATTAATATTAATACCAATATTAATAAAAATAAAAATATGAATATGAATATGATTATGAATATGAATATGATTATGGATAAGAATATGAATACGAATATACATATGAATATGAATATGAATATGAGTATGAATATGAATACGAATACGAATATGAATATGAATATCAATGTATCAAGGTAAATGTGAATATGAATATAAATATAAATAGAAATATGAATATAATTATAAATATTAATATTAATTCAAATAAAAATATGAATATGAATATGAATATGATTATGAGTATGAATATGAATACGAATTCGAATATGAATATCAATATCAATTTATTAAGGTAAATATGAATGTGAATATAAATAGAAATATGAATATAATTATAAATATTAATATTAATACAAATAAAAATATGAATATGAATATGAATATGAATACGAATATGAGAATGAATATGAAAGCGAACTCGGGTAAGAATACTAGTAGGCACATATATGAATACGACTGAGAACCGATATTTAAGCGATTACGAATAAAATTTATTCCCAAGTTATAAAATTCAATTTAAGTGCCTCACCAAACAAATTGTGGTTTTTAAAGGGAATTATAAAATATATGAACTTATTATAACCTAAGACTCCTGCAAAAATATTTCAGAAAAATATTTAGATTTATGTGAGCTGGCCCGAGTTTTAAATACCTCCAAAATATTTTTTCTTATTACTAAAATTATTTAGTTACTAGCAGACCCGGCGAACTTCGTCCCGCCCAAAATTTTTATATATTTTATTGAAACTTTTCGGTCCAACATTTTCACTAACAATTCACGTTTATGATTTCCATTGGCACATTCGTCTGCTAAGATTATGGTTTGGTGGTCATTTTCCGCTTTAAGTAACCTAAGGAAAGTGTTATATCCGTGAAGAAGTTCTTGAAATTCTCCAGTTGTGCGGCATTTCATAGCACGGTTATTCGCAAAGCGAAATAAATTTTTTCCTCTTCGTTAAAATTCGTACAACTATTTAGGAGGATTTCACTCACAAACACACCTACAGAAGAATTAAAAAATACATTCAAAGATAGCTAAAGGTCGGTACGTTTGCAGGCCTCACACCCCTTTTTCAAATAGCCAAATTGTCTCCATGAGTATGGGCTTGATTTCAACTACATACATATCTCCATACGAAGTTCCAGTACTGTACCATGAATACTTTCAGAGATATGCAGAATAAAAATTCGATTTATATGGGAGGTGCCACGCCCCCCTTTCCAACAGCTGCCCTCTTTCTTCATGAGTATGCGATTGATTGCGTATATCTCCGTACCAAGTCCCGGAACTATACCATGAACACTTCCAGAGATATGCAATATGAAAAATTTGGTTTGTATGGAAGATGCCACGCCCCCTTTTCCAATAGTTCCAAAAGTTCTAGAACTCTAGTTTGTATGGGAGAAGTCACACCCCTTTTTACAATAACTTAAATTTCCCTCCAAGGGTATGCGATTGATTTCGTATATCTCCATACCAAGTTCCAGAACTTTACCATGCACACTTTCAGAGATATGTAGCATGAGAAATTCGGTTTGTATGGAAAGTGCCACGCCCCCTTTACATATAGATTTTTTTTAGCCTAAAACCATCTTTGGTACACGTGCGGCAGGTGGCAGTTTAAAAAAAATCGGTTCAACCGCTCTCGAGCCTTGCGAAAACTCAAAAACGGCTTTCAAAATATATATTAGTTGAGATATATTGTATATTATATATATATTTTGACAGTATCCGTTGTTTCTGATTGGCGCAAAAAAATCTTGCCTAGTGACGAATTCGCCCTTGATATGGTCGTTGCTCAAAGCTATTTATATTCGAAATTGCATGAAAATTTGAAAACAGGAATCTATAAGCTTATCCAGGCAAAAAGCTACCTACGTACCGAATTTTAAGCAAACCGGACCATAAGTACGATTTCTTCGAATAGATCGGTCCCTGGTGCACTTCTCGGAAAACATGGAGCATATATGCTAATATATGCTAAAAAGCTACTTACATACCAAATCTTAAGCAAATCGGACCATAATAAGATTTTATCGAATAGACATTTTTTTAGCCTGAAACATGGTGGTTACCGAAAGCTATTTATATACAAAATTTCATGAAAATCGGTCCAGCCGTTCGCGAGATTACATGTTACAAAAAAAAGGGACTTCTCTTTATATAATTAGTATAGATAAATATGTAAGTATATATTTTCCAAAAATTACCTCAGAAGAGAGAAGAGTTCAGCTTAAAAGGTTTGCACAAAATTTTATCAATGGATTTTTGAATGTATTTTCAAACCAGTAACGCTCACGTACATCTTAATATATTTACGAACTATTATGACCGAAGTCTTAAAATATAATAAACTTTATAATTCCGTTGGGGAAACAGTGCCAATTTTATTTTTTTATTTATTTTTTTTTTATTGGTGCACCCGAATGTACATACATGCATACATGATATTTGCAAAGCATTTCAAACTAGAATCTATAGCGCATTTTCGGCTACATTTTATTATTTATTCAATTGTACTTGTGCTGCAAATAAGTTCAATAAGCCTCAATAAATATAAATAATGCTATTTCCGCTATCTAGAGACGAAAACACAAAATATGAATGTGTGATATTTTATTGTTGTTGTTTAAATTACTTAGTTACATGAAATATATACACATGAATAGACAATTCCCAAAAAAAAAAAAACACAAATTTCGACTATTCATGCATTTTCTTAGCCTAATAAAGCATAAACACAAAACTAAAATATGCACGAACACACACACACACACACACAACATAGAATACCAAAACTGCTATGCAGAGCAATAACTAAAGGATAACTCACCAGGATGATACATACTTACATATGTACACATGTATTTGACTTCAAAAAGATATGCGAAATTTTGGAAAAAAAAAATATTTTACTCTAAATTTATTGACATTCGCAGCATGCAAACAATTATTCATGTAATCATTATAACGCAGTTTCACATAAACACAAGCAAGCATTTGTAAATACATATGTAATTTAAACTACTCACACATACCCCTACTTACACCCTTACTCACATTTCTGTGCTATAAGCATTCACGTTTTTTCGCTTAGCAACTTACTATGCTTTTCATTCACAATCATTTCGCTAAGTATTTGACGCTAACATTCATTACAATTTCATACATTTAGTATTTTTACCTATGAAAAATTATTTAAAAATTATTACTGAATTATCTACATATTTACTTTCCTGTGACACAGTTCTTCTATCTCTCACTTCGCTACTCTCTTTACTTACTTAACCCTATTACATAACAAAGCTTTTTCACTCAATGCAACAACATCCAAATAAAAATTATTCCTATTTATTGCATATCGTTTATTGATTTATTGTGATTTTTTCCAACAAATTCTTTTCTAGTTAGCACACAGTTTTTGCTAATTTCTCTTCCCTTTAACCTGTCTCGCAGGTGTTCCTGGCAAGCGTAACGAAATCTACTACAACTGCTGTCCCGAACCATATATCGACATCACATTTGCCATCATCATTCGTCGTCGTACTTTGTATTATTTTTTTAATTTGATCATACCTTGCGTACTGATCGCATCGATGGCGTTGCTGGGTTTTACACTGCCACCAGATTCGGGAGAAAAACTATCGTTGGGTGAGTAAAGAGATGCACAAATTTGAAATGCCAGTTATTTTAAGCTCCAAAGTTTAGATATGTAAGTATTTAAATTTAGTAAAGGATAGTGGTCAAATAGAAGGATCTTAAGCAGTGGGCTTGGGATAGAGCCTGTCCGGTAAACACTGAAGTAGGCAACGAATGAAGGAGTTTGCACAGCCGATGGTGTCAGTCACAAATTTTTCTCAGAGTAAATAGACTCATGTGTTTAATCAGGAAGCAAGTACTGCAAAGAACTAAGCTTTTTGGACTTTCGTATAAAGGGTGTACAGGAAACAAAAAAGACTTCCGACCTTAGTTGCGAGTGAGATAATAGTATATGCCTCTGAGAAATCCTTACTACGAGGCCAAAACTTCGGTTCCTAAGATCGCCGTACTTAGAAATACCTAGAATCACTTAACCTAAATGGCTTTGAGCCAAGGAACCTCGAGAAATTTCTCAAATCTACGTGGATCAAAAATTATCTATAACCAATTAGAGGTATTTTACAACAGATCGTCGTAGGTCGGCGAACTTTGACGAGACGCTCCTATTCATATTAATGTTGTCTAATCCAGCTGCGATTCTCAACCAAAACAAAATAAATAAGAGGTAAATTTGCTATGAAGCGAGCAATCTTCTTTTAATGTTATGTATAATTTAACCTGAAGTTAGAGAAGCTGAAAAAATAAAATACCAATCGTTATGAATCTGCGTTGCTTTGCACTTCATGGATTTTCCTCAGCATTGCAGAGCTAAATTGGAGTACATCTATTCAACAATAGCTAACAGGTTATGTAATATAATTCCAATGCGTTTTGCTTGACAAGTAGATTGCGACTGCTTTATTATT